ATCAACCAAACTCCAACATTCCAACCGCCCCCAACAAACATCCCTCGCTACCGCGCGACCACGTTCACCACCCACACACCAGCACCCGTGCCTCCACCCATGTCAGCGCTCTCTGTTCTCACCCCCTATCCATCCAACGATTCTGTACTTCCGCCTCACAATGCATTCCATTCCATCCCCACCCGCAGCACAAACATCCCACCCTCCATGATAGAACTCACCCGTTCCTCCGCACCTCAAGCCACTTCTTAACTTCTACCAAAATTCCCCACCCGCACAGCCCATCTATTCCACCGCACACACCTCCCCGACGCGCTTCACACATGTCCCACGACCCAAACCATCAATGACCCTCACGCTGTTCCTCCAGTTTACCACAATCAGACCACCCCACAACCATGCGACCAAACCGTGCGTCCAAAAGCCACTTTATTCAACGATCTCTTCCCCATCAAATGCTTACCATTATCACCTACACACTCTCCACATATCCACAACACAAAAACCGCAAAATCCAGCCAGACACGAGATCCACACATCCCCCCCATATATTGACATACATCGAGGCCCCAAACTCCCAAAAGTTCTCATCTCAGAATCGGCTCAATTTTGTATCACCTATCTCAAAATTCTACCTACTCGCCAGAGACTTGCGCGTCCGCCGCTCTGCTCCAACCGGACGCCACCCGCAACCCTCCCACACCTCCCCGCTCGCCACCTCTCCTAAAGACTGCCACCCCGACGCCCGTGTCCCTACCATGCTACTTGTACATTTGTTACAAAGAATTCTTTCAGCACCTCCCTGCCACCTCTTAAACTCTCCTGCTCTGCGGGCCCATCCCTGGCTGGGCCCGCTCTAGCCTCTTATCCCACTAGCGGGGCCCAAATCCTCTCGTTTCCTTCCGCGCCTCCTCCCCCACGTCTTCGGAGCTCCACCCGCCTCACATTCCCTCCAGTAGCCTGCATATTCGGCCCGCGGCGGGACAAGACAACTCAAACCCTCTCTACCACACGACCCTACTTCAGCGCTTCGCAGCCCGTTGCTCGCTCTCGCCACCTTCCTCCCTTGCTCTCTTCTGCTTCGCAACCTCCAGCTCCTGTGCCGTCTCCACCACGTCGTCTTCTTCGTCCTCGAAATCCTCGTCCTCCACCTCTTCGTCCTCACCGGGCTCGAAGTCGCTAGCTCCCTCATCTTCCTCCGCCTGCGCGATGGGTTGCACCAGGTACTTCGTCCCGTACTCCTCTTCCTCGTCCTCGTCTTCGTCCTCCTGAGGATAAAAACCGCACCTTATGCATTATCAGGTACCCAGACACCACAAGGACCGCCAAGACCACCAAAAACCTACATCTCGGCCCCGCCAATACTGCTCACACCGTGCGCTATGCCCTGCACTCCACCTGGCTCCAACGAACTTGTCCGCAGAACAAACAAACGACCCAAATATAAAACAAGCCATCCCAACAGTGCGTCCAGACATCTACGGCACCACCTCTCCCAGACCAGGACACTCCTGTCTCGCGAGGACTCCTCCAAACCTCGTCGTCACTCCCCTAAACCCCTTCGTCCATCATCCACCCGAACCCCGAATGCTCCAATCTCCAGGGTAAAACGCTCCAAGCAACCCACCCTCCAACCCTCACACCCCCTCTCCTCGTTCCCACACTTCAAGAGCCACTCAGTACCTCCTCTTCCACCCCTCTCTCGTTGTCCACCGCGTCCTCCTCCTCCTCGTCGTCCTCCCCCAACTCCCCGTTCTCGTCCTCTTCGTCCTCGTCGTTTTCTTGCACGTC